GTATTTATAGGCAGTGTCCTCCCTGCTAAGTCTTTGCTCAACACATAATTTTTTGTGAGGTGGGGAAATATTTTCACACTTTTAAAACCAAGATTTCAAGAAAAATTATGTACTTGTTTAAAATCAAAATGTCAAGAGTTTATAATAAAAACAAACTTCCTTCTTAACTTGCACTCTAGTAGCAATACAGCCAATGGTTTCCTGTGTGTCCTTCCAGAAAACAGCTAGCTCATTGCCCACATCTATATGAACGTACACTCTCTTCTGTACAGAAGGGGAGTATATGAAATAGACACAGGTCTGCACATTACCAACATAATCTTTGTTTCTTTTTCTCAAAATACGAGCTTTGGAAGATAAGTTTATTATCAAATTTGTTTCTAATTTTAATGGACACATTTTAATTATATATGTATTTATGGAGCATGATGTGATATTACGATGTATGTGTACAACATGGAACAATAGAATCAAGCTAAAGAATATATCTGTCACCTCAAAAACTTTTCCTTTTGAAGTGGGAATATTTGAAATGTACTCTCAACAATTTGGAAAAATACAGTACAGTATTAACTGTCATCACCATGCTGTGCAGCAGCTCTCAAAAACTTATTCCATCCATCTGACTGAAACATATTGCCTTTGACCAACATCTTCCCGTTCTTTTTCTCTCTCCCTCCTCAGGTAACTACTATTCTCTTCTCTATTTCTTTGAAATCTTTGTTTTCTATTTTAGACCACACAGGTAAGATCACATGGTATTTGCCTTCTCGTGCCTGGCTTATTTCACTTGGCAAAATGTCTGCCAGGTTTATCCATGCCATTACAAACAGCAGAATTTCCTTCTTTTTAAGAATGAAATTCTGTTTTATATATACCACATGGAAAACGAATTTTGAATTACAAAAAAAATGAGAATAAATTCATCTTGTACTAATGAGACATTACAGAGAAGACAAGGATTATCACTGATATTCTTCCTACCCCCTCAAATCCCCACCCTTTATCTCCAGGGGTATCTAAAGAAATGAACTTGTCATCTATCTGTTCATCTGTCTGCCTGTCAGTCAACTCCTTATATATTTTACCCCTTGGTATTCACATATTTTATATGTGTGTGTGTGTGTGTGGACATATAGTGTAAATTAGTTTTTTCCACTTAACAGTGTCTTAAAGCTATTTTTTCTAGGTACCATATAATATTCCATATTTTATTCAGCTTCCCCCCATGTTGAAGACACTTAAGTAAACATTTGCTCTGTTTTTTTTTAAGTTCCTGAAAGGTAATCAGTACAGAGACTGATAGGACTAGTGATCCTCTTTCTTCCTTTTATGTAGCTGCAGACTATTCTATTGTGTGGATGTGCCATGATTTATCTGAACATCTTCTCATTGATGTATATTTAAATTGTTTCCAGGCTTTTGCTAAATTCAACATGGTTTAGTCAGCCTGCTGTACAGTGACCATTGCTTCCATGTGGGAGCATCTCTGAAGAACAAGTTCCAAGCAGTGCAATTGGTGAATCAAAAATAATTTTCAGTGTACAATATTAATGACTGAAAATTGATTCCTATTACCTAAGTTTGATGGCACCAGCATTCCCATAACTTCTACAATACTATTATTATATTATTGAATTTTAAATATTTGTCTATCTTTGTATTTCTTCTTTTAATGGACATTTCTTTTTTTTTTTTCCTCTATACATATACATGTGTTTATTTGGTTTCCACTTTTTGCCTTCACAAAATTAAAAAGGCTTAAAATTTAATAACAATAA